TAAAAATTTAAATAAAAAATTGAATTTCTATTTGGCTAAGAAATTACACTCCGACCTCTTACACGATAATTTTTATATTTTTATTCACATCTCGCATATAAAATATTCCTTACAATCCCACTCTAAATTCCGCAATAAACATTTGTATCGGCGAAAGGTTCGAATACCGAAACAAGAGAAGTATTCGACGAGTAACTAATACCTGTCCTAGCTAAACAATCAGCCCAACTGAAAGTTGCTCGTCGGTAGACTTAAATACAATGAAATGTTGAAGCAGAAAGCACATTTTCAGACAGGGACGTTTAGTTTAACGCGAGCGCAAAGAGTCTACCGACAGTTCACAAAATACGGAGAAAACCTTTCGCTACTCTCGCGCACAGACGTTGGAAACCGGTCTTATTTATAGAAAAAAAAAAAGTGTAGGAGAGTACAGACACACATCCAGTGGAAAATATATTCAAGTTACTATCACGGCAGGGATATTCGCGTCGTTAATTATTTCGGTCTTTCCATTTTAACTGGAGCACTGAATTTTCGTCCACGGAGCAGAAAGAGGATGGGAAAAGGGGAAACCGTAGAGAATTTCTCGCAATATTGCTCATCGTGTTGAATGGCACAAAAACTTCGTTACGCTCTACATTTTTTTTTTTGTTATATTCTTTTTTTATTTTAATTTTTTTCTATTTTTTAAAGAGCACGAAATAGCGACGTAACTCCGGCAAAATAATATTGTTGTTGCTTTAGAAGGAAGTGCATCGTCGAAGCATGACGAATGATACCATGCAACAATAGATACGCGTCACCTGATACAAGCGAAACTCCTGCATTCATCTGAATCTCTCCATGCACGCCAACTATTGTTAAGAGAATATACCGCGCTATCAAGTGATTTTTTTCCTCTCGTTACATCCGATAAATATCAAAGATTGTCTTTTCTCCAGCAACTGCCACGAATATTGCGATACTCGATGTTAGAATCACATTAACCTCGAGTTAACACTAGATAAACGTGGTAGCTATTACACCTTTGATAACAAATATTTTTAGCAACGTTTTATATTTTTTTCATATTCAGTGACAAGAAATATGTGTACCGAGTTTCGTCATCGATTCCTGCTTTAAATTAGTAACATGCCTCTGTTGCAAAATTGAGTAACAATTATGTTGTAGACGTCACTGTGAATCTACAATTAACATGTCAATCCTGTGTCGTCCTTATTTCCGTTTCCATTGTTCTGAATTAGTCAACCAAAACGTGTCGTAGAGCACGTGTCGGAATTTATAATTTCACCAGAAGAATAACAAGTGGAATTCGTTCTTTTATCATGAACAAATAGCAGGAGTTCGTTTGTGTTTTGAACAATGTTTAATGAAGTAAATAAATGGCTTCATTAAAACATAAGCAAACATTTGGAGTTTTAACGCGCATAGTAATCTTTAAATTGAGCAAATTTGTTTGTAATTTATGTTGGGATTATTTACCTGTAACTTTTAACTCATTTGGCAATTGTAAAACGCGAATATAGTCTTTCAAACGATATTAATACGATTCTTAGGGATCATTTTGATTAAAGTTCAAGATAAAATTGATTAAATTGAACGGATCGATGTTCACTTTAGACACTTTTCGAGACGAAGACGTACCTTTAAACTTTTAGACGGGGTCTGAAACTCTTCCAGAAATAAAACAGTTGCGAAGAACCGATAAAACTGAACATATCAATTCCGTTTACAGTTCTAATATCGGTTCCCGTCTTAGTTCTATATCGGTTTTTTAACGGTTTTATAACTGTTATTTTCCGGTTCCTGTATCGGTCTTGCATCGATCCTGAAACGGCTTTATCGTTAGTATCGATAACACAAAGAATAAAACTATTAACTGTCCATCGTGTGCATGCGTTTTACTAGCCTCGGTACTCATTCATTCGTTATATTTCGACTTTTGCGTATTTAAAACGTCGGGTAATATAAAATTAAAATTGTTTGGGACTTAAGAACCTCCTTTGTACGAATTACATCCCAGAGAAGACAATAACGAAAACGAGTGCACAGTGACGCACGGTATAGCCGTGATGAAACAATCGCATCGCCGACATAATTCCCCGCTAAAGCGGTCCTAGATCACGGGCAACGAGTACCCGCGTAATAGAATCTTCCGTAGAAATATAGCAGGTAATTCGGATTCCCGCCGGGCAGAATCCCTCGAATTCAATTAAACAGGAAAATGTCAAAAGCGGTACAGTTCATTTTCACGCTGGCAGGACTGTATCGGTGGTGCATATTTTATCGTGCCATCCGAACTTCCCGCCGAAAATCGTTACGTTAGGTGGGCAAACGTAACAACCAGTTGGAAACTTGGAAAATTTCATTGTACATGGACTGGAGCTTATTGCACAGACGTACCTTCGAATGTCCAACTTTTTCAAAGAGATTCGAAACCTATCGATCGTACTTCGAAATTCGTCGTTCGGCGTATTTCGCGCGTTCGTGTACGCTCAGATCGTGATACACTTCGCTTTTGAACTTTCTGTTCCGGGTACGCGCAGGAAACGTGTAATATACACCTAGCCTTCCCATTTACACGGAAGATTGGATCCTTGGAATACCGTGTAACTCGAAATCGTAGCTTTTTCAATAGAAAAACCCCGTAAATAAATGAAGAAACAAAATGGAGGTTTTTCATTTAACAATTTGTTTGTAGAAATAGTGTAAACGTCTTATGCTATGCCACCTAGTTTGATTCCACCGTTGTCTCATCCGGTATATATTTTAGTGGATCGTGTGTACTCTTGGGTGGAACATAGTTTAGTTAATTGTACCCCGTATTTACGTGTTTTAGTCGGTACCTAGGCAAAATATTAGTGCTTTGCACTCCAGCGTCTCCTCTAAGGCACTATACAAGTTCTGTGTCACAGCTCCTCGGGCGCTGACACGGCGACATACTAAACCGCTTACGCATGACCTGCAGCTGCTTGGATACATTATGGGCAAGACCATCCAAAGCGCAAAGGGTAGTCTTTCTCCCCAAAAACACCATTCCCTCGTCAACTACAATATCTGAGACGAAAAGATATTTTGTTTACTGTCTATTTGTACGTTTGCAAGTGGTAACATTTTTCCAAATATGTTATTGTGTTCCATGAGTTCAATCTTTTCAAAGTGCAATTTTCTAATAATAACTCAAAATAAAAATAAACAGTAAAAATAGAGTGAAGCTCGAATCGAAAGTCCAAGCCTGGTATTGTGTTCTATGGCTTGTTTATTTTCAAAGTATAATTTGTTAATAACTAACTCAAATCGATTACGAGACCACGAGAGAATGAAAAGTTGTTAGTTTAATCCGTAGATCAACATTTAGTTAGTTAGCGGTGTTTGCTCAAAACCCATCCAAATCAACGGTCGAATGAATGTTTTTATTTCTTCGAAAGAATTGGGTTTCCGTCTCTTCAGTGGAGCGTCCTGAGTGCACGAATGTCGAAGCAATTTTTGGTTTGCATGTCTGTCCGTTTCCGTGACCAGGAGGCTTATCACTTTTTCATTCAGGAACAGCGAAAGAACCTCACCTGGGGTAATATCGGAATGTAATTTCATCAGAAGTCCCCTTTTCTCATCGAATGTAAACGGTTTTTGTTTTCTAGTAAACTCGTTCCGCGGGATATTGTCTGATGGACCAATGGTATTTTCCAGTTTCTTCTCTTTTTCCATATCCAGTTCTTCCAGCATCAAGGCCTGTCTCGAGGTCTTCAAGGTATCCGAATTTCAATTAATTTCCGATGCCATAGCATCTCAGTAATCTCTGTCGTTATAATTTATTCGATTACAAATGATGACCTATAGTAATGCATTTTATTCTATGACTTGTCATTTCATAGATAAGAGATACGATATAGAGAAGATAAGAGATGCTACCATTTAAAGTTCAATTTATGATCTGTAGAAATATGAATTTGCACAAACGTCCGCAGTCTGTAATTTTCCTCTACGCACGATGTCCACTCTTACATGACAGTTTTTCCCTGAACTTTACTTCAATTTGTGCCTCAGCCTCGCGGCCCTCAAGCGTACGCATACACGTTCGAGCTATTCCTCGCCAGGGGCCCGAAAACTCCACGTGCATTTTGAAAACTCGTCGCGAACTCAGTCGCACAGTCCCAAAAGTTATTCACTCGCACTAACACTCGTTCCAAATTTTCTCGATACCACGCTACTTATGTCAAGAAACCTTACTCTAGACTCAAGAAAGTTACTTTAACACGTTAAACGCGACGTTGGCCCCCGGGGGCCGACATTGAACTTTCCGTTTAGACGGCGTCGATCCCTGGGGACCAACATTGGACTTCTCGGTTTTGCAACATCGGTCCCCGCAGATGTATAATTCATGCAATATAGAAAGACATATTTAACCTTCTTTAACATTAGAATTACTGATGGTTAACGCATATCTATTATAGATATTATGACATCTTCTATATTGGACGAGGAAGAAGCAAATCAATTCGTCATATAATTATTAGGTGTAGAAATTAATTCTGTGCCTCTGTATTTAATAATTGTACAATTATCGTAACCATTTGTTATACTAGTAATCTGTTGTAAGAAAAATAAGCAAAGTTTTCTGACTACTGGAGTTTGTACATGTAGGTCAATTGTAATGGTCATCGGGTTGAGATTCGAGTAAATATTTCTACTTAAGCTAGAGTTACAAAAAAAAATAAATAAATAAATAAATAAATAATAAATGATTTATTAAAGCACAGAATATAGAGGGCCAGAATTAATTTTGATACCTGCTACTCATTTACGAATACCCGATAGTTCCTATAATCAGGGCCCATCGTGCGATTTAATTCGTTCGTGGTTTCGTTCGCGAGATCCGCACGTCGATAAGGGTTAGGTAAAAGGTGTATGAGTCAGAGCGGGAAACACGCAAACGGAGGTGTAACTTGCAACTCGAAACTGGAGTGAAAGAATCTATGTAGGAAGATCGAAATTACACGAACCTTGAGCGTGGACGACGTCGAAAAAAGCGATGATGGCGACGAGGACGTGGCACTGCATTTTTCTGACACCGCTTCCGCTTTCAATCCGGTTCTCTTCCTCCTCTGTATCCAGTTTCGTTGCTTTTCACGCGATCCCGCGAGCACCGTCGGTTTCTTCGTTGAACGGGGAAAAAAGACGCACTACGTTTTAATCGTGTTTCCGTTGTATCGCGTGCCGGTTAATCGACGGTATTTGTTTCGGCGAGGTCGTGGCTCGATCGTTTAACGTCACGAAGGATCCTGTATTCATTCATATCACTCCGACGCTCACTTTCTGAAAGACGGTCCCTTCATTCTTTACGAATTCCACCCGCTCTTTCCTGTCTCATCTGTATCCGACAAGTAGATAACAGTCACGTGACTCGATTCCCACTCACGGATGTTTCTCGAGTAGGCATCCTTCGGGTGTCCTTCTCGATCATTCTGCAAAAAGGAACGATATTACGGTTAGAAGCGAAATATTTGATCGTCTAAGTACGATAAGATTTTAAGATAAGAAACGTTAGCACGCGAGGCCTTCTTTTTTGGTATCTAACAGCAACTCGAGATGCTTTCTTAGCATTCTATTGTCACGAATGCTAAGCTTGTGCTTCTTTTACTTTTGTTTATTTCGAGGAATACACTTCAATGTATCTGTATTACCTTCGATCTTCTTACATGTATTTAATATCATTTTATACACGAGGTAATAATAGAAACTGGGACGAGCTTCAGATCTTTTCTAATCGAAGATACCAAGAATTGATGCAGGTAAATATGAATACCGCAACGAGGACTACTTTTAGATGATATTATATCGTACGTTCGATACCATCACTTTTGAATTCAAGAATCAATCAAATAACACGTTCGTAATTTTAGCACAGCAGAGATGCTATTAAGCACCCTTCGAATCGTATCGATCACGATGAATTAAATAAATTACGTTACGAAACGAACTACTCGACAGGGACCAATCTATTTTCATTCCAGCTAACCACTAAAATCTTGTTAAAGCTTACTCGATTCCAGGAACCTTTTATCAAATAAAGTAGATTGTAAAATGGGAGTTCTTGAATTGCTTGTTTGCGGCGCAGCTCACGTTCAAACCACTGAATTCTTCACAAGAGAAGGAACTGATTTTTCTCCCTACCTGTTATTTACTTGTACTCATGTATTCTTCTTACGTTATCGACAAATATTCATCAATTTTCGACCGGTTCAATACTAAATAAACACGAGTCGTTCGTTATTTCGAAAACGTTTAAACAACAAATATTTGCCACGTGTTACTATTGCGAGAGTTTTTCTTACCATTTGTTTAAAACTATCTTAATAAACAGAAGTTGTATATGAATCAACTCAATAATAGTTATTATTCGCATTACTTCTGTTGTCTTTAATATTTCGCCACAGATACGATCCTCCTATTGTATTCTGTGTGCGTCCACAGAGACAAATTTATATACACGCAGATGTATTGCTCAACAAGTTTAATAAGATTCCCTAGGGAGTAACTGAAGCAGGATAGAATGAATGGCGGAGATGAGACCAAGCGTCTTGCCTTGGTCGAGTGGACGATTCTCCTATATATATATATATATTCCATATTGGCCGAGTTCCGAGCGATTTACCTAGAGATACTCCGCTTTGTATCAGTTTTGAACGACAGACAAAAATACTCCACATCTTATTAATTTTAAATGAGAAATAAATACCAAAGATATTTCACGTCAATTCTTTTCATTATCATTTATTAACAGAAATTCTAATTGTTTATCGAAGTGATCGTTACTTAAAACGTGCTACATTCAATTATCACGGATCGCGTTAAATCTCAAATTTCCATTTTGCAGAACTTACGTTCACTTCTTTCTCACCGGACGCTATAATGGAAAACTTTTTTTTTAAAAAGAAGTTCCCGTTGGAAACTGCTTAAAACGAACATATTAAAAAAGTTTCATGTCCGTATCGATTACTGATCCGAACGAAAACCAATGTCGAAGCGGTGGGAATATGGAAGCATAAAATAAATCCGCGCGATTCTGTTAGGAGTTCCATAGCCCGAAGTTCGCCGTTCCTCTGTGTCTTGCTTCTCTTCCTGAAAATGATTCACGTGGATTTCAAAAGTTGTTTAAAGTCTGTTGAAAGTGCGGACAACAATACCTGTCACCTGTGGGGCCACCCCGTGCCGCTGATTTCCTCGACCGTGGAGAGGGGAAGTATCGATGAAAGATATAAAGCAGGAGCGGGAAGAAAAGAACGAACGCAAAGAAAAGTTGGCCCAGGTAGGCAAACCCAATGGAGTCAGGAAACTTGTGAAGATCGTGCCGCGGTTTGCCGATCTGTGGCTGCAGCCTTTCCGTTCGGACGAACTTGCCGAAAGTATGACTTTAAAACTTCCATCAGCGTGTAAAGAACAAGGAAACGAAAACCGCCGCGTATGGAAACGGGCATTATCTTCGCCGGATGATGCGTGCAAGTATCGAGCCAATGGGTGCATTCAGTGGACTGATCGTGATCACTGATCCAATACTAGATCCTCTGTACTAGAAACCGCTAATACTACGAGGATTCGATTGGGTATAGTTGGCAGTTTTCGTACTAAAAATTTAAGAATTTGCTTTCAAGATTTCAATATATATTTGAAAATGAAAGAAAGCGGCAAAATATTGCGGTAAATATCGAGGTTGATATATAAATATTCAGAAATTGCTTCTAGTTTCTGGCAATTAGTATCCTCGTCGCGACGGCTACTCGGACGTCCACGTAATCGACAGTAGTAGAAGTCACTAATTTCTCCTCCCTTGACGCGCAACTTCACTAGTTCGTAACTCCGCGACGAACCTTGCCATTTTAACGTGCACAATCATATATTGTAATGATATTCCTATACATAATATTCTAAGAGACGGCATTAACCATTTACAGTTTCCAAATTTTCTGATTTCGGTACATTTTTTTCGAGCCTCGTTCGACATAGGAACGCAAAGGGTTAAAGTATATTGATTGTCGAACTATCTTACGCAACCTCATCCTACCTTTTACCCAATCATTAGATACGATGAACGATAAGATGAAATGACAAGAATAAACTCCGATAAACGTATGATTGTCCTTCTTGAAAGCCACATTTGCATTTTCCTTCAATTTCTCATCGACCTTCGTTTTTCATATCACAAAGCAGCTACAACGCAACATATGCTAACGATAAATTGAAAAGGTGTATCGACTCCTCGAAGAATTTTATCGTCGATGATTGATGAACAGAGATTCCATCTACCCAGCGACAGCCTTCATACTGTTACACTGCCGGCATGTTACATCGCCGTGTGCAAATCAAATACCATATAATCACTCTGCCAGGACTTCCGTTCCTTCCACCATCGCCACCAACTTTCCTTTCGACCTACGCCATTGTCGTCAACCATCCTAAATCCTCCTACTACTCGCGTTCCACTGGCACTCCGGACCGTGGCAAGACATAATTGAATAAAACCGCTAAGTGATTAATTGCATGAACCTTCGCGGTGCTCTTCCTTCCCAACTAACTTCGTGCTCGAGTTTAAAGGACATTTACTGCGTTCTATTGCTTTTTATGCTGATTCAATGATCGAGTCGGTCGTGCTATCGTACGATCCGGGGTCGGTGGACGGACCCGTCACTCTAGACTACGATACTCGGAACACACAGAAAGCACTTATACTGTAGAATATTTTTTGTACTGCCATTGAACGTGTATTGAATAATGAACAAAATTTTACTAATTTAGATTTTTCAAGTAAAACAGCGATGTCGTAAAAGTCTGTAAACGAAAGTTCTCGATATTCGGACAACAAAAAATATTGTGCGTTATTTGTGTCGGAGGAAAATAAAATAGAAGTTATTATCGAAAACGCGAGCGGATGAAAAGTTTACGAATGGGGTTGTCAGCCGTTGCTTTCACGTAGCAATAATTCGATCGCGTGTTAATTTTGATGAACACCAATGTGCCAGAAATTTACCAGTTAATTTTCTGCATGAGAGTTTCGCGCACAGATCATCATTCGAGTAACATAACGATATTATACATTAATTAAGTGGGATTTACTAGTTACGATATTCTGAAATCGTGCGTCACTTTTAAAACTTTCGAATGGGCCAGTAGCCGTTCTAGAACGAAGACGGTAACTTAAATTATGTTTGATGTAACATTCGTGTATTTAATTTTCATTACATCGTTCAATTTTCATCCAATTTTCATTCGTGTATTTCATTTCCGTTACAACTAATCAAAAAGATCGGTCTCCTGGGAATGAGTTGCACCAATTTTCATTCGTGTATTTCATTTCCGTTACAACTAATCAAAAAGATCGGTCTCATGGGAATGAGTTGCACCAAACAAAATTGCTTATATTCAAACTGCACGTACTTTATTGACCCTTTGCTTCACGTTGCAAGGAACACTAATGTTTCACGAAAACCGAGTTTGCAAAACGCTGGGTTAGCCTGTCACAGGCGTTATGTTTTTTCATTCCCGTAACTGTTTACCAGGACTTCCGACGCGAGAGGAACCGCATTTTGAGTCGGCGCGGGGCGAGTTCTTTCTGCAATTGGAAACTTTGACAAAAGTTCTAAGTGGGAAAAGTTCTTAATGAAGTTCCCCTGTCTTATCCAGTAACGGCAACAGAAAGATATCGCAAACGCGATTACGCATTTAAAATTTTTGCCTATTGTTGGAGACGTTCATTCTGAAATGTACGTTTCGTAGAAAATAAAATAACAGAACTAGAAGAACTTCACGTTTGTTCTCGCGAGAATATAAATAGCGTCGACATCAGAACAACTTTTTAATTATCTTCCAAGAAAAAGTAGGAGGTACAACATTTTGTTCTTTTAACGTCATACGTGTGTCTGGAAGGTCTGATTATGGCAAGCAATCTTTAAATGTTATTATTGTGTATATTTAATTCTCGATAGGATTAGAGAACTTTAAACAGGTTGCAAAAATTAGTACCTACTACCACAAATGTTAAAAATTAATACCTACTACCGCATCTGTCGAAATATGAATTTCCATAAACATCCTCAGTCTATTTCTGATTATGTACCAACAAAATTTTATCCTCGTAGGAATTTTCAGGAATGTCAGTTCGTCAGTCAACGTGCTAATCAATATCGTACACCATTTTTACTACACTCAACCACACATTTATCATGGTAGCCACTTATTCAGCGATCCGTTACACTCCGCAGCAAATTAGTTTCCAGTTTACAACGAACCCGTACGTATTCTAGTGGGATTTGAAATGATTGATTGACTGTGTACACCATGCAACCACAATTTTCATCTTGAATTTTCGATGCACTCGTCGATAGGTCGCTTTTTTTTCCACGGAGAAACTCCGCAGGAGAAAAACCCCCACTTTATCCATAACTTTTGGTTGAAGTTACGCTATTAAATC